CAAAGACAGGGGTTTGGGGATTTTTTACAAGGAACAAGGAAAAGGGAGTGACGGTTTTGCGACCTGCAGCATGCAGGGGGTCAGACCAGATGATCATAATGGTCCCTTCTGACCTTAAAGTCTATGAGTCTATAATAGAACTCAGCTGTCGTGTGTCCTAGTCCTGTGCTAGACTCACAGGCCGGTGGCTTCAGCAGGCCAGATAGATAGAAGACACTTTGGGGTCCCTATCAAACAATTCCATGCTAAACACTGGTTCTCTTTCACAAGATTGTTCCTGGGTGATTTTTTTTTTTCTAATGGGAACTGAGGTTTCAAAATAAAGTATGGAAACTATGTGAAGAAACTTCAGATTGTAGTTACAAGCTGGATCCAATAACCTGCTTTTGTAAAGAAACCTTTCCACAGAAAATCTCAGGAATGTCCTCAGGGGTATTGGCCTTCCTAGACTTCCTCTCCCCCTCCTCCCCTCCACTTTTTTTTTTCTATAAAACAAAACAGACTAGAGACTTTTAGGATAATCCTTGGCACTTCTGTAGTAACAACTCACTGAGCATCTCAAAGCTTCTTACAGTCATTAATGGACAAGCTTTACAATAGCCCTGTCAGTAGGACAGTATTATATGGATCTTGTGGATGGCTCAGCTGACGCAAAGAGAGATTAAGTGCCACATCCTCACAGGTATTGAAATCAATGGACGTTAGGAGCCTAAACACCTTTGAGGATCTGGCCTTAAGTGACTTACTTAAGGTCACACACTACATCACTGGCAGAGCCAGGAATGAAACCCAGCTCCTCGGCTTCCCAGTCCTGGGCTGTAACCATTAGACACGTTCTCTTCTTTAGAATATACTTAGTGTTAGAGCATGGGACTGAGAGTCATAAACTTTCTCTTCCCCTTTGGTCCCAGTAAAAGGGATTGGACCACGAGCTTCTTACCTCTCAGACCCTGCTGTTGGGGCCTGGTGGTGAGTTCCTGAATCAGGCCAGGACCCCAGTGTTCCCAGTGGCTGCTTATATCCAAGGCCAGACCAGCGCAGCTGAGAACAACGTTTAAGTGATCTCTCTCCTGCCATCCATCTCCACCCTATGACAACAGAATTTATTAAAAGTACCCATACAAATCAATGTATCTGACAATGAAGAAGAGAAATCCAGATGTTGGTGGCACTTCTGACTACAGTCAGTTCATTCCAGCAGCAGGAAAAGGCACCGACACATTCATGCCATGGGGGAGTAACTGCTTTGCAAGCTTTCTACCAAATCTTGGTGCTCAGTGAGTGCAAAGCTGTCTGCAGATCAATTCCTCCCTCAATTCCTGAACCAGGGGAGGAGGCATATCCATCTCAGCCACTCTCTAGATAGGATAAGGCTGTTGCATTAGGGGTTCCAGTGCTGCAGGGAAATTAAAAGAAAAGAAATTGAAATGCAACACAGTTGATGACATGCTTTACAAGCCAGGCTGACTGCAGAGGAATTGTATTATTTTAGTCAGTTTTCCTCCACAGCTGATCCTACTTATTTAGCACTTTTATGCTTGAGTTTAGCATTGGCTGCTAGCGACCATGCAAAAAGCAGGGGAGGAAGAGACAAAAAATAATAATGATGATAAAGGACAGTGGGAGCTGCATCAGCAGTTCCAATGCTCACCATAATAAATGAACAAAACAGATGTTAAGAACACCTTAAAAGATCAGAACATATATGAGTGGGTATAGAAAACCCACAAGTTGTTTAAAGGACTTGCCAACACAGCACATGCACATGAGCGTGGACACATGCAGACATAGATACACAGATATGGGCAAACCTGGACACTCATGCATCTCTCAGGTAGTCATGTGGACCCTGATACCTCAGTATGTGAGCACTTCCCTATGGTTAATGCATTTATCCTCAAAACACCCCTCCACACAGGAAGTCTGGGAGGGGAGCAGGGACCTGAACCTGCCTCTCTCAAGACCCAGCCTAATATCTCAATGATGGAATTTTTCCTCCACCTACTATTGTGCAGAGGAAACAACTGGACACGCCCCAACACTGAGGTATTAAAATACCCCCCCTCTCCCCAGCGCAGCTCTAGGGCCAGACGTGCCCTGCCCCAGGCTGTCCTTGTGTGGAGGCCGGGGGAGTGCAGGCAGGGCTGAGCACCCAGGCTGCTGTGACACGCCACCTCCCTGCATTCCTCCTGCAAGGGAACCAGCCTCCGGCCCAACCCCCGCCCCAGAGCACGAGCCATTCGGGGGAAGGGAAACCTGCGGCCCGGGGAGGAGACGCCGGAACCGAGTTGCTGCGGAACTGTAGGTGCGAGGCTCAGGGAGTGAGGGGGATACACATTCTGCAGGACCTGGAGCGCGGGGGACGCGTTTGCCTGCCTGGCGCGCCCCGCTCTTCCGGCCGGGTGTCCGCTGTCGGGGCCGGGCGGCGGGCGAGGATGTGCTCGGCGCTGGGGAAGGTATTTACCCCGGGGAGCGGGTGCCGGGGAAGGTGTTTCCGGGGGGCGGGGGAGGTTGGGACTCGGGGTTCCGGGAAGGTATTGGGGGCGGACCATAGCACAAGGAGTAATTGGAAAAGCCCCGTTCAGATCCGCTCAGCCAGGAGCTGCCCGGTAAGTTACTGGGAGCCCAAGTGCGGCACTCACAGATGTGAGGCCAGCGAGTCCATAGTGATCATCTAGTCCAGGGGTCGGCAACCTTCCCGAAGGGGTGTGCCCAGGCTTCATTTAGTCACTCTGATTTAAGGTTTCACGTGCCAGTAATAAAGGTTAATGTTTTTAGAAGGTCTCTTTCTATACGTCTACATACAACAATAGTTTGTGTATTATAAAGTAAATCAGGTTTTTAAAATGTTTAAGAAGCTTAAATTAAAATGCAGAGCCCCCCCCCCCTCCCTCCGGACCAGAGGCCAGGACCAGAGCAGTGTGAGTGCCAGTGAAAATCAGCTCGCTGATCTAGTCTGACCTCCTGCACGTGGTAGACCACAGAGTCTGGCTAGCCCACTCCTGCAATATGCCCACAACCTCCGACTGAGTTACTGACATCCTCAAATCATGATTCAAAGACTTCAAATTAGAGAAAATCCACCACTTGCTCAAATTCAGCCTAGCCCGACCCAGGCCCCATGCTGTAGAGTGAGGTGAAACCCTCCCTCTCACCCAGGGTCTCTGCCACTCTGAGCTGGGAGAAAATTCCTTCCCAGCACCAAATATTGCGCAGTCAGTTAGACCCTGAGCATGTGGACAAGACTCACCAGCCAGACACCTGGGAAAGATTTCTCTGTAGTAACTCAGAATCCTCCCACTCTAGTGTCCTGTCTCTAGGTATTAGAGATGTTTGCTGATAGCAGTTGCAGATGGGCCATATACCAGTGTAAGCAGTCTCATCATACCATCCCCTCCATAAACTGATCAAGCTCAGTCTTGTAGCCAGTTGGATTTTTCCCCCCCACTGCTCTCCTTGCAAGGCTGTTCCAGATCTTCACTCCTCTGATGGTTAGAAACCTTTGCCTAATTTCAAGGCTAAAATTATTGAGAGCCAGTTTATATCCATTTGTTCTTTTGTCAACATTGGCACTTAACTTAAATAATTCCTCTCACGCCCTGGTGTTCATCCATGTGATGTATTTATAGAGAGCAATCATATCTTCTCTCCTCCTTCGTTTGGTTAGGCTAACTGAGCCAAACTCATGAAGTCTCCTCTGTACTCCTGTTCTCATAAGGTAGGTTCTCCATTTCTCTGATCATTTTAGTAGCCCTTCTCTGCCCTTGTTCCAGTCTGAATTCATCTTTCTTAACATGGAAGACTCTTAGGCTATGTCTACACAATAAGTGTTAGTGCGGCACAGTAGTGTAGGCAGTTGCTATGGTGGTGGAAGAGGTTTTTCCATTGCTATAATGAATCCACCTCCCTGAGAGGTGGTAGCTAAGTTGATGGTACAATACTTCCATTGACATAGCAGTGTCTGTACCAGGGCTTAGATTGGCTTAACTATGTCTCTTGGGTGTGAAATTTTCACACCCCTGAGCACCATAAAGTCAACCTAAGTTTTGGGTGTTGACTAGGCCTTATTTATTGTGAAAAGGAATTGAATATAGTCACCCTTTTCCTTCATATGGAAAGTCCCATGTTCCTGTGCCGATTACAGATCCTCTGCTTGCATCAGGAGAGACCATGCAAGGATCTGTGGGCTGAACTATCGAACTCTGTGGGTCATGCTTTGGCCACCCCTTCATTCCTCAAGGGCCAGTAGGGGATTGTTTCCAATAGTGCATCTTGTATCAGAAAGCACTATTGTTCAGTGTTTAGATCAGGATAGTAGGAGTCAGGAGAACTTGGTTCTGTTCTGTGTGACCTCGGCAAGTCACTTATTCTCTCTGTGCCTCACTTCCTTCATCTGTAAAATGGAGGAATCTGAAGATGTCTACATTGACAATTTTATGGAAATATCACAAGTGGTGCACTGAAACCAGTGCAAATCCCCCAGTGTTAGCAATGGCAAACAATGTGAATAGTAGGGTGAGCTGGTCACCAGGCGTCTTACCTCCGTGTGGTCTTCCCCTACACTAGACAAGGTATGGTAAAAATATTAGTGCCTTGTCTCTGCTACCACTCCAAATGTGGCTACAACCAGAGGAGCCAGTTGGAGATATTCCGAAAATGTCTAGTGTAGGCAAGGCTTAAATACTGAGCTCTTGTTGGATACTTAGAGCACTTTAGTCTGTTTTATTTTTCTTTTGATATTTTTCCTCCTATCATAAATTATGTCAGATATTTTGGGTGGATGCTAGATATTATCGCAGAGAAGAGGAATTGTATCTTTACCAAATCAGATACAGCTGGAGTAAATGGGTAGGTAATTGATATAGTTAGATAGCTAGTTTAAGTTGAAGTCAATGGAGTGACACCAGGGATGAATTTGGTCGGTAGTGGGTCCCTTAATATCAAGTTACTGGAATTCACATGTACAAGTGATAGAGTGTATGAAAGAGAAATTACAGTCATCTATCTTCCTGTTATTCTGTCCCCTTTTGTGTTGTAGCAGTGTACTGAGAAGTGATGATTTGCTTTAGGCCAATGAAAACTGGTTGGGAAGTTTATTGGTACATTATGAAGTTACTGAATTTTGTTAGGGAAGATGCATTCCAAGAGGAATAAGCTAACAACTGACTGCTTTGAAAACCTTCTTGATGCTTTTCTTACATGTTTATTTGTGTTCTAACAATGTTGGCTTGTTGTAGGTGCTCTGCCTGGGGAAGGAAATGTTTCTAAAACAGGCATTTGCTCTTAGCAGGTAAGGATTGTGAAATCTGACAGAGCAAATGTAAGATTCAAGATAACATTTTTATATCCTGTCTTTTACAAACTGGCCCAGCAAACTTATAAAAAAAAAATAATCACTATACAGTTGAAAAATAATATCAGAGAAAGGTAAAACATTGAGATATAGTGAAAGGAATATTTCATATGACACCTGGAAGCTGATGGAATAGCAAGATCTGTACAATAGATGGTTCCTTGCACCATCAGTGTAGGAAGAATGGTCTAGTGTATGGGTGTCAGACTCAAAACCCATGGACCAGATCAGGTGTGCATAATGTATTTGTGGCTCACATGCCATACTCAGACTGTGCAGAATGTAAACTTTTTTTTAATGACCCAAAAAAAGTGTTTTTTTTTCTAGACATCATGGCTGCAGCCATAATCTTCCAAATGTAATGGGAGGAGGGTGTAAACCAATGTCATGATGTCTGTCTGAGTTTGCAGAGAACTGAAAAATGAGTCAGAGGGGTGACCTACTTCTTATGAATTTGATCCGTGTATCATCTCCAAAGCCCACTGATGGTGTTGTAATGTCAGTATTAACGGATCACTGTAGTAAATGGAATGGTTGGGGGGTGGGAGTGAAGCCCATGGAGTGGGAATTGGGAGTTCCTGTAGAGAAAGACCTAAAAGAATAATTAAAAGTTTTAGTTACTATGTGAAAGCTATATTATCTCCTCGATCTTTGTGTGCTCCTCCCACTGACATCAGTGGAGTCTCCACTGGGGATCAAGCAGAGAATGCCATCCTGAATTCTCACCCCAGCTCCCAACAGAATGAAACACAGAATCTGGCTCTCTCTCTTTTCCCCCAAATTAGTTTGACACCCTGGGTCTAGCGGATTGTGACTTCCCAGCTCAACCCCAGACCCCATGTCTGACCTTGGGCAAGTCATTTAATCTGTCCTGTGGGGATAATGCTACCCTACCCAATAGTGGTGGTGTGAAGGTAAAATCCATTAATGGGTGTGAGGTGCACAGATAATGCAGTAACGAGGGCCGTAGTGTAAAGATCTAATCCATTTTCCACACTCTCTACCTATAAAACCTGTCACTCAAGAATAATGACTCTATTTAGAGACTGAAAATCTGTATAGTACTTTTATAAATGAAACAACAATAGCTTTTAACTTTCATCCTGGCTTTTCCTTTAGAGTAACAGCGTCCAGAGAGAGCCCCATCTGTGCTGTAGGTAAGAACTCACTGTAGATTTTGAATACAATACACTAAAAACCTTCTTGTACCCGAAACAAATATTCACACTTGAGCCATCATGTCACCTTGCTGTTTAATTCTTTAAACCACATTTGAGCTGATTGATGGTGTTATAATGAATAATTCAGATGGGCACTGGGCCAGCATTCAGTCACACCTGTATCTGACTGCAAATCCTCCTCTTGTTCCATTCCTGGGACGGCTAAGCAAAGAGTCCTAGACAAACTGACTTTATGTTGTGGAGAAACATCTGCTAGAGACTATGGGCTGTATTCACAAAGAAATGTAGTGTCACCACACTTAACTTTTAGGTGCCTAGAAAATCCCTGGGATTCACAGAGTTTAGTGTGGCAGCTCAGCTTCGTGTACATTTGGGGGGAAAGGTGCCTCAGAATGGGATTCACAGAAGCCAGTACACTAGGTGGCTCTCCGCCTAAGATAGCTAATGGGCGATGCCAAGGAGAGGGGTGTGTTCTAAGCCCTGCCCCTCTTCCTGCACCTAAATCCAGCCTGCAGGGAGGTACCTTCCTCTGCTTGGGATTCTTATCTGCAAGCTTTCTCTTGGGGTTAGGTGTCTGCCCCATTTTTGGAAAAAGCTGGGTGGAGGAGGGGAGAGGAGGAGGACCTCCCTCATAACTTTTAACCCAGTGGTTAGTGTAGTCACCTGGGCTGTGGGAGACTCCTGGTTCAATTCCGCTCTCCGCCTGATGAGAAGGGATTTGAACAGGGATCTGCTATTTAGCTGAGTGCTCTAGCCATGGGGCTATGATATGTTCGGATATGAGTCTCTCCTGTTGAAGCTGTCCCACTGGGATAAATCATTTAAAAATTCACTGGAGCAGGGGACTGGACTCTGTGTCTCCCACCTCCCAAGTGAGTGCTCCAGCCGCCAGGCTAGGAAGGTTTCGCTTGCTCTCTCTCTCTCTGTCCCAATGATTTTTTCATTATTTATTGCCAGAGGAACAGTTTCAACAGAAGAGACTGAGGGAGCCCCACATCAGAATATCCAATAGACCAGTGGCTAAGACACTCACTTGAGAGGTGGCAGATCCCTGTTCAGATCCCTTTTCCTCATCAGGTGGAGGGGGAAGTTGAGTGGGGGGGTCTCCTACATCCTAGGTGAGTACCTTAACCACTGGGCTAAAAGTTATGAAGGAATCTTCCCCCTCCTGTTCTCCCCTTTCCTGCCTTCCCCCTGCAGGCATTTGAGGTAAGCTTGCTTGCAGGCGCCTGATCCAATAGGTAAGCTCGAGGCATTACCTGCTTGGGTCCCACAGGCGAGTAGTTAGGTGGAGGAACACCTGTCTACCTCCGGATTGTGCATCGCCAGGGGGCTGAGGTGTCTGGACCCATCTCCAGAAGCTGAA